AATAATTGAAGGGGTTAGAATAGAAAGGGTATAAGTGCAATTTCTTTAATTTAGGAGATAAGTTCGTTTTGTGAAAGATACGTTTCCGACGTATCAAAATGAAAAGGATTTAAACTAAAATTCAGCTATGCATTGTTTATTTAAAATGATTTAAAACATTACTAAACAAAATTCTTCACTTTTTTATGGTAACATAACTTTAACTTCAAATATCTCCAAACAATGAAAATGTTACTTATACCCTTTTTATTCTAACCCCTTCAATTATTATAACATAATTATTACAATAATTGTAACATAATTTTCCGAAAATTCGATAATTTTATTAACCCAATTCGATAATTTCAACTTTTACATCTGGCAACACTGTTGTCGTATGATCTGTGCGTCAGTTTAAGAAGTGCACTGAGACTTTGCGTACGTCTTTGTAAGAATAAAAAAGTATTTTCTCAAATAAAATGGTTTTTACCCGTGAGAAAAAGTACCAAATTATGGTATGGCAATGCCATAATGGCATCACTGGTAGATCGTATCGCCAAATACAAACTTTATTTCAAAATATGTTTCAAAATAGGCCTTTACCCAGTGTAGCTACAATCCGGCTGTATGCCGCGCTGTTGCCATATGCTATTATTGTTTCCTAAAAGGGTTGTTTTTTTTAATATTAAAAGTAAGAAAATTGACTAAATCAAATTATTTTTGACATATTATTAATTTTTTTGTTATTTTTAAAGTTTCAAACAAATAAAATTGAACTATTTATTAATCGTTCTCTTCTGATTTAAAACAACCTGGCAACTATGGTTCGTAATTACGAATGGCTTGGTTTAAACCACGCCCAATTTAAGTTTGTTTCTTTTGCTCTGATCAGAATATAATTTGTCATCCTTGTCTCCAGCCTTACTTACTTGATTCTATACAGTCTGTATATATATATGTATATTCTCAGAATATTTAAAGCATATTCCAATGATCAAAACAATATACATATGCTGGGAATATTCTTGGAATATCTTTGGGTTTAGAAAGCCGAGATATTTCACGACAATCATTTCAAAATGTTCGAAGGAAATTTAAGAATTATAAATATACTTTACTTACAAAATAATGGAAATCAGTTTAAGTATTTAATTTAAAGTGTTTTAATTATTTTTACAAGAATTTGTTTATTTTTTTATAAATGTATGTAAAATAAAATTTAATACTAAATTTTAGTGTACAACAAACACATGGCACGGTGGATGCGAGTATAACTTAAAATTAGCGAGGTGGCGGGGCTGGATGATCGCGTCTGGCAGGAGGCAGTATCCGGGAGGAGCACAGCTCAAAGCAATATGAATAATGAGCCGGCTTCGCGACCGAGAATTAAGTGGGTGGAAGACAAATTCGTACGAGACAAGTGGATGAAAGATGCCCGTCTGCAGGTTTAAACTGTCTGTGCTGGGATTGAAAGGAGGCCTTCCGACTGCATTAATTGTTTTACGGACAACTAACCGCCAGACGTTGTTTAACCCAATGCCCCCCCCTAACACACATTATTCATATTTATTCAATTGTGGGTCCCTTTGAAATACTTTTTTATGATATAGGTCATATTTTTAATCCAGGTCAAATATCTAGTCTTTTAATTATCACTTAAGCAGAAGTGGTAGGAAGGAAAAGCATGTTGCTCTAAGTTTCTTAAACTTGACCTATATAGCTACATAAATTCCACCTTATGCACAAACCATATTGTACACTCACAACTTCACGTGGTAATAATTCATTTCATTGCAACTTGTTGCAATGACTTTTCCACGTATGTATATATTTTTGAAGCGTTATCTAAACACACATTACTGCTAATTGTTTTCCTGTTGGTACGCAAGCTCCAAAGTCTCCGTTATCAAGCTGACAGTAGTTAAACAATCGCGATAAATTGAAAGCAATAAAACAGTCATTACGGCCAAAATGTGCACAAGCACGACAATAACTTGTATTCGATCCTACTTACTGCTAATTTAACCCTCATTAAAAGGCACAGTTTACGTAATTCGCCAGATGTTTGTTCCGAATGACAACCATAACGAATATTTAATTACTCGCCGAATGCCGTTTCGATAATTTATGCAGCATCGCCTAATCTTAACGACAAACTTTCAGATCGAATATGTGCCGAGATGAGATAAAGTACCGAGATATCTAGACGAAAACGATTTACTTCGTATTTAAATTCAAGTTATAAGGGGTAGTGTGTTGAATTAAGACATCCTACTACCATTGTATCTGTTATTTTTCTATATGCAGGAATGAGCAACATATCTGTATGGGTGAACCTTTTGACGTACGAGCGCCATTTGTATATGTAACTGTGACTTAAACAAATCATCTCAACTAAAAATGGAAAATGTGTGGGTTATGAAAATCAACTCAACGGTCATCAGCAGACTTTGACCATCCTGCAAGAATAGGTTCAACCTTTTGCCAGCAACGTTAAAGGTAGATTCATTCTACAACACGACCATTCTCAAATTCATACGACAAATCTTTCCGGGAGCAAGAGATCCAGGTGATGGAGTGGCCTGCAATGATACCGGATCTTAATCCGTTAAAGCACGCCTGGGATGGTTTTGGAACTGTTCCTGAACCTTGTTTCCTATTAAAAAATTATTATTTTATTATAATTGAACTTCTCTTTTCTGGTTGTTTAGAAATGTTCAACGAATAATAAAACCATAAGAGGCTTTCAAATATGCGTTTTGCTAATTTCTTTGAGCAATGTATTGAACATTTGGTAAACACAGGTGATCTATGGATATGGACCCAATTGCAACGGTATAGGTCTAAAGCAAACCCAACAAAAGTTGTTTTATTTAGCATTAAGAATATTTTAAAAACAATAAAACCGTTTTTGCGAGAAAAAAAATGGTTGCTGTTCTTTAATATCAAAATATCATTACGTGAAACGTAGACCACTACAAATTAAAAAATAATAATATGTTAAAAACCACAATTTTAAATAAATAAAAACAACATCAACAATGTTTAACATTACATTAATTAAAAATGCAAACAAATAATTATGCAGAACCGTTGTGCTGTTTAAATATTTATTAGCAACATTAAATTTTGTTTTTTTTTAATTAAAATTACAAACATGCAGCAAAACTCAATGCAAATGAGTTTCTATGACCTATGGAAAATATGTTTGTTTGTTTATTATATGTCATATAATTTTATGTCATTTCAAATAAATATTTGATGCATCAAATAACGACCGCATTTTTTTGGTTATACTATTTGCAATGTTTGCTATTCAAATATTCTACGTCGCATTTTAATGGATCAAATTTTAACCAGCAATGTTTTTGTGTCGGGTTTATGGAATAAAATAACCAATTAGCAGAATAAAATTTTATATTGGAAAAACTGCAAATTTGTTATGTTATGTTTGTACGAGGGGAGAACAAAAGTCCACCAAATACAGAAGAAACAAATTCAGTTATCATCGTATTTAAGAAACTTCTCACCAGAAAAATTTGTCAGATATTTTTCTAAATGTTCAAGCATTTAGAACGGGATCCCTCAGGGAAGTATACTTGGACCACTACAATTTCTTTTAACCATAAATGGTCTATATTTTAATGTAATTAACATGTTTGAAAAAAATATGATTGATAGAATCGTAAAGAAACTATGAACCAAGTTAATTTGTGGGTATGGTAAATTTGTGGGTTATGGTAAATCGCCTAAATATAAATTATATTTATAGTTTTAGAACCTTGTTCTGCTGAATCAAAGCATCTCTATACCCCCTAAATTTTGTTGTTGAACTTAAGCTGGTGCACTTACTTTTCTCGGCGTATTTATGTGTAAAGTATCTGGGCTATCTAAGACTTTGAAATAGAAACTGGGGGCAATGCGAGGGGATGGCCAAGAAAAGGTGGGTGGGCCGTTTCCCGCCTACTAACATGTAATTAAGAGCAACATAACTTAGACAGTGTGCAACTTCATAGTTGGAAATTCTTGAAGAGAGCGTAGGGGTGCGTTGATAGTGTTTCATTAAGAAAAGGGACATTTGAGTTATTTCACGAACGGATGGGTTAATACGCTTATATTCAATTAGTCCTTGTCGCTGTCTCATTTATCAAATGTATTATTATAAACAGCTGCAGTGGCAATAGACAGATGACTATTCAAATTGAAATTGAAAAATAAATAATCCGCTTTAATGATAGCAGTAATGATTATTCATTATAAGTTAATTATCCCCATATAAAATAATAATTCAATTACCTCGATTGTGCTGACTATGTGACATTTTATGTCGCCGGAGATTAACGCTACCTTATTTTATCATAATAAAAGTAAAATTAATTAAGCCAAATTAAAAACCTCGCTCGTTTGATATATTATCATGCGTATTTTATATAAAAACATCAAATAAAGCAAAAATTATTAATTAATGGTTTTTGTTGGTTTCTCCGAATTAAAATGCAAAAACATACGAGTAATTATGATAGAACACCCTCAGTTATTCATTTGTTTTACTTGTATGCGAGTGTGTTAACCTTTTGAAAATTATTCTCATAAATTGTGGGTTTACAGCAAAAACAATTAAAGATTAATTATGCTTGCTTCATAGCCTCAAAAACAAAACAATGTATGTGTAAGTAAATAAAGAATATAGCCATTGTTTTTTTTAAGAAACTTTAATAACAAATCAAATCAAGTTGGACATTACATAATTGGAGCATATTTTTTTCAAAAAGTCTAAAATTTTAAATGGCTTAAAATTCTAAAAAACATTTTCACCCTTGACTTGTCCATGTTTTTAACTTGAACCAGGCTTACTTCTAAATATGAAGTTCATCAAAGGAAAGAAAAGAGGGGCAAATATCCACTACTAACCCTCAAAGTATAAAATGCAGACCCTTTGCCTATTTTTCTACCATTTAAATGAACTATAAGGTTAGAAAGTGAAACCCCACAAAAAACTATATACTTTATTTATACCAAAATAGAAAACTAAATTACATTTTAGTTTGCTTAATGTTAACAAACGTAAATATGTCATCCAGAGTCAAAATGCCGTAATGTTTTTCGGACTTTCTATCATCCAAAACCATTAAGAATTTTTCTGATTGCAGAATCGTAGCTGCTGCTCCAAGAGACATGCAAGCAGAAACTTTTTCGTAATCATAGTTAATGATTTTGCTTACGCTTTCATCCAAATGGGTGTCTTCTTGCATAAGTTTCCCCAACAGAATTTCCTTTTTCACTATGCCCAAAACTTTTTGGTTGTCTCCTAGAATGGGTATTTCAGTAACTTTGCTCAAGTCAAAGCAATTTATCGCATCTTGTATTGTAGACTTCTCCGATACAATATTGACATTATGTATTGGAATATCTGTTATCTTCTTATCCCACCACCAAAGATTTTTAGTGTTAGGGCATGGTATATAGTCTCTAGCAATCATCCAGTTATCAACCATAAATTTCGTCATATAATTTCTTATACTGTCACCAAAAAAAGCTACAACGCGTTGGTTTTCATTCAAATTTTTAGCCGCTTTTAAAGCTGCGCACATTACAGCTCCACTTGACATACCACAAAGTAAACCTTCTTCTTTTATCAACTCTCTACACATATTTAGAGCATCTTTGTCGACTGATTTAATCCAGAAATCAACCAATGATCTATCTAAAACCTTTGGGATGAAATCATGCCCTATACCTTCGACTTCAAAGAAGCCTGACTTGTTTAGGGTTTCAGGCTGGGCCAGCATGGATCCTTCAGGGTCTACGCCTACTATTTTTATATTTGGCAGACTTTCTTTAAGTCTCTTGGCTATACCTGTTAGAGCGCCTCCCGTACCTGCACCAATTACAAGCATATCAAGTTTCCCTGAACATTGCTCTAGAATTTCCTCCGCTGTTACATCGTAGTGAGCCTCAGGGTTTCCCAAATCCGTGTATTGATTAATAACAACATTGTTGGGGTGTATTTTTTTTAGGCGTTCTATGGTGGGAAATATACCATTAAGACCATGCGATCCACCTGAGACAGGCGTCCTAACAATCTCAGAACCAAGAGATTTGATGACTCGTTCTTTCTCTTTTGACATCTTCTCAGACATGACTATAATACACTTATACCCTTTAATGGAGGCAGTTAAAGCCATGGATATACCAGTATTACCGGATGTGGGCACAATACAAACATAGCCAGGCTTTAATTCACCTCGTTTTTCAGCATTTTCAATCATACGTAATGATATGCGATCCTTTAAAGACCCACTGGGGTTTTGGTATTCACATTTTCCAAGTATCTCACATTTTACTCCATGTTTGGATGGAACCTTATTTAATCGCACCATTGGTGTATTACCAATGGTACTGAGGATGTTATCATCGATTTTTAGTTTTGAGGATAATCCTGGAACAAAAGTTATTAGTTTAATATTGTTTAAATAAAATTAGGCACCTTTTAACATGATTATGGTTTAAGTAAGTAGCAAGTTTAAGTTCTGTATGCTTATATATAATTGGTTATAGATAGTACTAATTGCACCCGCATTAAACGTATAAATTTAGACCTAAATAGATACCTTTGTCAATAACATTTATTTTTACTATGTATTGATAAATACAGGGTATCCTAAAAGGCATGGACATCATAAAGAAGTGGAAAGGGGATGGAATCCTAAGGTAAAAGGTTCTTTGGCGTTTTTTGTTCTGACGCACGTTTAATTAGTTATTAATGAAATAAGGTAGTTACCTTCCATACCATGTCAGATCAAAAAATGACAAAGGACTTTTCGTCTTAAAAGATTAATTCCTATCCAACTGTATACCTTAAAATAAAATTTAAAAACTCAATTGTCTAACAAAACTCCCCGTATAAAATACGTAGAGAATATTATTGGGTATTGTTATTACAAAATGTATTGATATGTACGTTCTTTATATTTAGCAAGATGGTGAGAATCTTTCTTCCTTATAAAAAATAAGAATATGATTCACACCATACAGTGTTTATTTGCTTATACAAAGGTGTATTGCTTGTGAATTAGATTTACTTCAGTAATGAACTTCATGAAGACATTTTGACAAAAATGCAGCTCCCTGATTTTGTGTACTAAGTGCTCTTCGAGTAGATCGAACATAACTCAAATTGTGATAAGAAGTTGTGGTAGAAGAAAATGATCCATGAAGGAACCTTAAACCATACGGAACATAAACTTCATTATTGGTAAGCCCGGTATAAATATTTGGCAACGTGGGTTAATTGCAGCCCATTTACCCTGTCGCATCGATTGTCCTATCAGGTCCTCCGTTCTCAAGGCTATCGCGATGAGACTGCCTATTCTTGATGACTAAGTCAAGATAGTTGAAGAAAACGGTGGAATTTTTAACAGTGCCATTTCCAAAATTAATTAACGGTGAAATTAAAGATGCTATCGCCCACCCTGCGATTTATCTTTCCGTCTGAGGAACGGTCCAGTTCCGGGGGTTTATTATTGTTTCAACTCTGATTGCCTCGATGTTCATTTGTCTTTTTAATGGCGAAACGCTTTAAAATTTCATAACGTCTCAAATTACAGGATGTACCTTAATTGAAACGATTTGTATCCAAAACACAATTTATCATTTATAAAGTTAATTTTCGACTGAAGGGAAGAGTTGGTTTGCCAAGCGCAAAACCTGGTTCCATAATTAATTTTAATTTTAACGTTTTAGCCTATTAAAAATACAAGTGAATGAAAAATAAGTTTTAACCGATGAACACCAGTTTATTTATGGTTATGATTTATATTTAGTATGAGTTAAACATGTTCCTGCTAAAAATGAAAAAAGATGAATAAATTTTCTTTCGCAGAAATCTTCTAATAAAATTCGTCGGTAATCCATGCGGCCAAGCATTTGAATGGGATATGATTGGGATGTGAACGAAATACAAAAACCTCTGATTGAATAGTGCGATAGGTAAAAGTAATCTGCAGGATTTACTCGCAAATATCAAGGATAAGACGCATGTAAAATTTGAAAAGAATTCATTGAACATTTCGATGGCGGTAAAAACTTTAATCAAATAAAATTTTAATTAGGTAATGATGATAAAGTTTAATGAAGCGATTCGACAGGCAAAAACATTTAAGAGTCATATTATTAAATTTATTCGACACAAAGATATCCATTAAACACATCTCAGGACTGCGAAATGGTATTGTGCTATAATTAATGAGGAATACCTTGTTGAACTGTTGTGCTTTTTTCTTCCAACTCTGACACGGGCGGTTATTTATCGCCTGTAATAAACCGGGAGCTTATAATTATTGTAATTGCGCTGATACATTTTGTACTTTATCTGCACACTTACGATTTATTGTGCTACAGATTGCCGAACGTATAAATACACTGTTTCTTCTTCTTTTACGATCGTATCCTCACGCATTTTTAACAATAATTTACGTTCCAGTACTTTTTTAAAAGAATTTTTGTGTACTTTTAATGGTATTGTTAACACATTGTCCTGCTTAACAGAAATATTGAAAAAGTTGTTTATTTTGAAAAACCCACAATCCACACAACAAGGTCTGTTCTATCTCATGCTAAAAATACTAAAAATCACTGCAACACTGCACAGAGCTTAACGGCGGCCATTTTTGTTGTTTACTATTCTTGTGCTTTGGGTTTGTGCTGTTTAATAATTGTTTTAAACGTTGGGTTTCTTACAGAGGCACTTGTAAGCCTCAAATAAGGCTAAGGACAACCATTTTACTCCTCTTTTATAATTAATATACCTTATTCTATCAGGGCTGCAAATGACAATTTGAAGGTTAATTTGTGGGTTAGAATTTAACCTTAAAATTGACATTTGACAGTTTTATGACAGCCCTGATAGAATAAAGTTTATTTTTTACAATAGAAGAGTAAAATGGTTGTTCTTAGCACTTTAAGGCCTCTTTTAAGGCTTACTAGGAGAAACACAACGTTTAAAACGATTATTAATCTGTATAAACAGAGCACAAACCCAAAGCACAAAAATTGTAAACAACAAAAATGGCCGCCGTTAAACTGTGCAGTGTTGCAGTGATTTTTTGTATTTTTAGTACGAGATAGAACCTTAGAACAAAAAACAACAGGAAGGAGCATTTAATAAATGACCTTGGGTCCAAAGTGGAGCTTCAATATGGCGGATAGTTGTTTCCGTTTGACAGTGGCGTAGTAAATACAATTGAAGTTTAATTTTTATAATAATTAGGTTAGTATCAGAAAATATGATACGCCTATGGTTTTTTCTATGATGGTTACGTTCTTAGGTTATGGTTATGTTCTAAGGTTACGTTATTTGACATTGATTTATGTTTAATATTTACAACTAATTATTTTAAAATATACAATAAGTAAATAAATTAAACGTTAACCAAAATACTCACCTATGAAATGTAAATGAATATTTTTAATTTTTTGTGCTCAAGGAGCAACCACAAGCTGCACAACTAACCATAATTTGTTTTTACACCTTAAACACTAATATTTATATCTTAAACTTTAAATATTTACACTTAAACGAGAATATATCAAATACAATATTGTCTAGAAACAATGAAACGCTTATTTAAAGTTAATTTAACCAGAAAAACAACATAAAACACCGACAAACACATAAAAGTTTTATGATAAAACATTCAACTTTGACAAATATAGCATCACAAATGTGTCATAATTTGGAGCTTGCAAATGGCCGACTTCCGCCGCAATTTTAGTACGGCTAAAGAATGACAAGACTCCTTCCTGTTGTTTTTTGTTCTAAGGATAGAACAGACCTTGTTGTGTGGATTGTGGTCAGTTTAACCATTATCGGATATCTCAGCTTGTTAGTCACAACGTTGCCAAGTTTTTCGTACTTAAAGTTTGATAACTTTGCCCTTAAAATAACCCCCTATCTCGGGGTATGACGTTTGTGCGTAAATTTTTGTTTTTAAAAATAAAACAAATTATTTTGTAAAAAAAAAATATAAGAAAATTGGTGCCATTTAGCATTTGCATTTTCAAAATGCATATTACAAAAATGAATAAGGCTTATAAGAAAACTTTCTTTTTGGCTTTAAAACCATATAAATTAATTTACTTAATAATAATATAATATAATATTACTGTTTGGTAGATTTTGGAAATAGGAATAGTTAATTAACCCAAAAGCGATCACTCCTAAAATTTTAAAGCTGTCCCCAGTTTACTGAATTTTTATTAACAATTCCCGAAACAGTTCTCTCCGTGTTTAAAAATTAATTAATAAATGTAATTATTAGGTTTAAGAAAAATATACTGAGTCTCCTATCTAGACAAAATACTTTGAAATTGTCACTTATGTGAGGTTAACTAAAATGTCAATATTTTTAAAAACTTAAAATGGGAATTTTGAATTGAAGAAAACTGCTAAGTCTGTATACTTAAATAAGGTACCTAATTATAAATGTTATTAAATTAATATCACACGTGAACTTTTTAGATATTTTTTTCATGATATTATCTTGATATTATTTATAGAAAAACCATGTTACTTACTTGAATAATCTGAAGACATCCTAATAAATTTATAAAATCTGCTCATTCTTGATTATTATTTTACCATTTCACAGCATATTAACTTGTAAATTAATCAACATTTATTTAGGTTAAGTATTTTTTTTTGATCACCGTAATACCTACCTAATCTCTGATTGAGATAAGATTCCAATAATTTGAAATGACATAATATTAATGTATAAATTTGTTATCTTTAACCAGTTCATATTGTTTAATTATTTCTATGAAATTTTTCTATTAAAATTAATTTACGCGTTACCTAACTTTTTAATAGATTATTAATTTTCGTGACGTGATCCCTTTTAATAAAATTTCTACTAAAATTGATATTTACTTAATATAATTAAAGGAAGGGAGCATATTTCTAATTCTAATTAAAGCTTAATCTTTATAATAACTTTGATTAATTATAAGAAACGGCGCTTCTAGAGGAAAAAACTTAAAATTACCTTCCTTAATTGCAAAAGGTAAAGGAATATTGGAATATTTTAATCCTATTTTAAACTTACTTCTTAGCGATAACAAATTGCAATCATAATTGGCAGGGAGGTTAGTCAGCTAATAAGGTTTACTTAAATTTTTATACAAATTTAACATACCTGGTGTTCTTTTGGCCATTTATTATTAAATTATATTTATTCACTATTGCAGATTACGATTATTATATTGTCTAGTTTTAATAAAAAATTGTAGAATCAGATAAGGGATATGTTTATCGAATTTTATTTATTTATTATTATATGTTAAAGGTTATCCAAAAAATTGTTGTTCATCCCTTCTTCCACAAGCATGTCTATCTACTGATTAAAAAGAAATCAACTTTAAGAATTTAATTTTTTTTTTAATTTTTTTTTTCCTAATAAGCTCTAAAATAGAATAAACAAATTGATCAAGTATAAGGTATTTTATTACAATCAATG